AGCAACAAAGTGGAAGAACAGGTGGGACTTTGGATATCAGCTATTCAAGTTTCATTTTAATTGCTGTCTTCCTCTTCCATTACTTCTTCTATTTCTACAATACTTTAAAATATTTTCCTAACAAAATGAAAATGGTAAGAATATTGGAAGTCATAGTTTTTCATGATAGGGTATTTGACTCACTGAAGCATATCTTCCAAAGAGAAAAAAGGCATAACAATCTTATATGATTTTCTATTAATGAACACAATCTTACATTACAGAGAAAATTTGTAAAGTGGTTTGAACATAGCATAAATATATTAACATCAAAATATGAGAACAAAATTTTCAGTACTGAAAAATTAAAGAATTTTTAAGTCTAATTCAAGACATGCTCAAATTATTCTAATGCATGGAGTGTCCTAAAATTACTTTTCTGCCTTGTCTGTTACTATAACTTTAAATATAATACTATGATATTACTTCCCTAATGTTACTATAACTTGTAATTAACATGTGAGAAATGACTTAATTTTCCCTGAAAAAATAAATGGCTTTGGATTGAGATTTGTAAATGATCCTCTAATATATCATAAAATGATTGAAGCTGTGCCGTTTTAAGAATATGGCAATTAGTTAATTTTGGTCACTAGATCAAAATTGTGGTCAAAAATAACTATCTTAATATAGGTTAAAATTACAAAGCATGGAGCTATGAAACATGAAATACAGTGTATATTGCTGTGTCAGTAGAGGAGAATTATAAAATTAATGGCCAATGTTTTCAGACCTTCAAAAATAAATCAAACACAACACCATGCCAAGCTGAGTTTTAGGGGGTACCTAGGAAGCAAGACAATACACCCATTATCTTTAAAGAGCCAGTTCAATTGTTACCATTTTCTTCCTTCTATTTTTTTTTTCTTTTCCCTTCCTTCCTTTCCCCCTCTATATAAGGAGGGGAAGAGGGTTTGAACAGAGGAAAGGGTTTAGGGAAAAAAGAACCAAGAAATACCATGTACACGTACAAACTTCCGCTAATGAATGTGATCATTTTGTGTATCTAAATGTAACCAGGCCGGGATATAGCTCAGCGGCACAGCGCCTGCCTGACAAGTGCAAGGGCCTGAGTTTGATTCCCGGTACCAAAAAAAAAAAAAAAAAAAAATTTTTTAAAGTACCAATAAAATTAATTTTAAAAATTAAATTTCATTTGGTGTATCCACCTTATTGGAAAGTGCTTTTCAGAAATTTCCCTAGGAACAGAAAAGACTTCTTTTCTATTTCAATCTTTAGCAGTGTGGTATTCAAGTTTTAAAAAATGACTACTTAAAATAAGGGGATTTTTCTGAATTAAGATATTTGCCAAGGCTAAAGATAGGAGATTGTCCGAGAAAAGGTTGACCCTGATATTTTTTGAGAAAGTGTTAAAACTCAGTGAAAAAGAACACAAGTATATTTTTATAGACACATTTCTCTTCTCTGAGAAAACCTCCAGAAGCCAAGGTCCCAATTCTCCCAGTCACTTCTAGTTCCAAATGATCTCTGCTAAATGTTCACTTTTTCTTTTGCATAAGTCCAGCAAATGTTCAATCATGTAGAAGTGGAAAAGGGAGGTCCCACCCTAAATAGTAAAATACTACCACAATGTACTTTGTGAAAGCTAGGAAGAAAGAAAGAGGGAGAGAAGGAAGCAGGAGAGTGAGGGTTAAGATATAAGGAGGGTTAAGGAAGGAAAAAAAGGGGAATGCCAGCACACCTTAAAGACCTAACTCACTGCATGTAATTCTTATACATTACAAACCATTCACTTTACATGCACCAAGACCCTTATTCAGAAATGATGCTAAACTTTATTGGTATACAATTTATAGTCACACATGATATTTGCATCCTGAACTGTACCTCTTTAACATAAAGTTACACAAATATGTAATTAGATCATGCAGTAAATATTTGCTGAAGACAAAATACCAAATTTTCCAAGCAGAAAAAAAATTCCGCTCTGGTGGACATATGTAATGTGAGAAGTTCTTCCTGCTCCTTTAAATATTCATTTTGATTAGCATATTTAATAAGTTTTATTAAAATTTTGATACACTGAATCTTATACTAGTATTTCATGACATTTTGTTGAACAGGAATACATGGCTTAAAAAGCTATAATCAGTTGTGCATGCTGATATTTTCAGCTTTCTCCTAAGGTTAACAAGACTGGAAGACAGACATAATTTTAAGGTAGGGAAAATTTGATTTTTGTCCTTTCATCTTCTCTACTGGTGTTTCTTTTCTTTCTGTTCCCTTCCAGCTGAATCCAACTAAATATTTCATCTATGCTTGCAAAATGGAGCACCTCCTATAGTCAGGTAATCATATGCATTTGAGCAGGAGAATTCTTTTAGACAGAATAAAAAAGTATTTTAAGGATCAAAAGGAAAAGCAAGGAGCACCAATGACTCCAGGGCACTAAGTTACATAACAAATGAAAGGGATGAAATTTACAAGTGCCTGGTGACACACAGGAAACAAATTAAAGAGATAGAAATAATAATTTTAGCTGCTATCCACTAACAGTTATATTTACACATAGCAAAAATAAAAGTTTTTGCAAAAAATCTCCCTGAATTACTGTAGATAATTATAGTCTTCTAGTTCATCTAGACTCCTTGGCTAGAGTTAGATCTGCCATCAGAGAGAAGTTGCTGTTCTTGACCATACTTTGTAGCTGAAGAGTACAAAAGCAATTTATTGGAGAGTCCAAGCCAAGGTTGGACTTTAGTTTCAATATGGTAATGTATACCCTGACAGCTTCTGCATGTTTTCTGCAACAAAAGTTATGGAAATATAATTTATAATGAGGTGTTATCCACCAGAAAGTAAAACTTGAAGAAATCCAGCAATAAAAATTTCTTTCTAATTGCTATAAAATACTTTGATACATTTAGGAGGAGGGTTTCACGTTGATAAATCAACTGAGAGTTTCTTCACTTTAAATAAATTTCAAATTAAAATATTCAGAAAAAAGGGTCATGAACCATATCACCCCAGTCTTAGAAGGAAGTCATGTTCTTTTGCTATCCTTGAAAGTTATTGATACTGAGCAGAGGTACTTCTCAGCAAAGAACCAAAGTAGAATTATTCTATGGACTGAAGTTTCATTTGGTAGGGAAATATAGTGTATTAGAGGTGTTATAGAAATAATTGTGTTTTTAGTCAAATTATTTTAACATAAGATGGCTTTGATTTAGATTTCTATCCTAAGAAGTTTAAAGAAGATCATTACTCAATGTTCCCTAAAGTGAATAACCCTGAATACACTATTGTTTGCCTGTTATCTTTAACCTTTACATCACTTAAAATGAGTTAATATTTTCAACAAAAGGTCAGATTTGCAAACATAAATCTATGCCACAATCTAGAAGTTTGTCTTACTTATGACGCTTTCTGCAATGTTTTTACAACAAATGAAAAATATGGAGATAAAATTCATTGAAATATAATTTCTAGCTAGGTGTTATCAGAGAACAAAACTTAAAGGAACCCGGCAACAAAATTTAATTTCTTTTTAATTACTGAAAACTTGATACATTCAGAAAACTCAAAAATCTCTAATAGTTTGAATTATGGATGTAAGTTGACTCAACACAATAAAATATTCATCTTGAATTAGTTTTACAACAGATAATTCTGTTAAAAATTGTTCAAGTTTCCTACCACCTTTTAAAATTTCCATCCTAAACAAACACTGTGGATAAACCCATTGCATGTTAAGTGAAGAATCTTTGACTAAAAGACTCTCTAACCATTTTTAATTTCAGAAGATTGAAAGTATACCTTCATCTGTCCAACAGGTTACCATCAAATGCTGTGGGATGATTCTCTGCCCTCTTCACGTGCTTTGGAGCATCCCCAAGGAGAATCACAGTTCTGGGGTTACCTAGGCCTTTTTCTACTCCAAAGCTGGATACTTGTATTGCTAGAAGGCGAAGTCCAATTTGAGAAGGGTATGAAGAAGAATACGAGATACAATGTAGACCCCTAAATGATTTTACAGGCTTCAGAACACAAAATAAATATTTGCTAGTCTCTGATTAAATTTTCCAATCAGGAAAAGATGTAATTTCTGTAATGTCAGGGAGAAAATGGAATGCACAAAATAAAACTCTTCCCACTGCATGTTACCTCAGCCACGCATGTTATAAAAGAGAAAATGTTTTGTTTTAGTATCACTTGCACTCTGAATATCTGTTCTTTTGTGCTTATTTTAGCAGGATTTCTGTGACATACGGCAGAGCAGGTATTTGACTTTCTTTGTTCCTGGAATCCAGATGTTCTGACATTTTTGTTTACCTTCATCATTGTAACCAAAACTAGTTCTACCTGCCAGTCAGAAAGTTCTATTTATAATTCTGTGAGCTTCTAACTCCAGCTTCACTGAGCTGTGCAGCTGCTGAGAGGCTGCACGATCACCTAAAATGACTAAAAATGATTGCTTAAGGTGTTTTGCTTCCTCTTCTGTACAGTAAGAGCGACCACTAGTCAAATGAGTCATTTGGCTTTCTTTAAGCCAGAGGTATGTACCATGGAAATTGCCTCTTCTTGGAGTCTCTATACCTTGCTGAAGGAAAAAATGAAGTCTTTCTGCTTAGGGTCATCTCAAGAACCTGCCCCACCCACCCCTGGATAGGCCCTTTACTCCTGAATTTGATGTATGACTACCAGGCTGAAGCATGCAGGGAACAGTCTTCAGAAAGTGAGATTATGCAAAGAAGCAATTTTGCATATTTCTGATTTTACTCCAATTATTACATTCCTTCCCCATTTACATTCAGTGATATTTTATGGACCACACTAAAAATGGATTTAGCAGTGTCTCCTCTATCTCTAAATACTGAAAACATCCCTAAGGAAGACTGGATATAAACTAATTCTTTAATTAAAGAAACAGAAAAACAAGATACCATTTTGACTGGCCTTTTAGTCTCAGTCTCAATCTCTCTCTCTCTCTCTCTCTCTCTCTCTCTCTCTCTCTCTCTCTCCCCCCTCTCTCCCTACTTCTCTTTCCCTGTCTTCCTTTCTCCCTCTCTTTCGCTCTCACTGGCTTTCAAATAATAAGCAAGAGTACTTTGGTCTAATATTAAGAATTATCTGATTGTAAACTAGATGGATGAACTAGGAGGATAAATTTAGAGTAATTTAGTGGATTCAAGTTAAGTCCTTTTTTATCATTTATGAACACTCAACTGTATACTTATTAAGGACTTAAGCATCCACTGAAGTACAAAAGTATGATGTCAAAACTCTTTCAGTAAATCCACAATTCTGTTTGATTTTGATTTTCCAATTGTGGGCAGGAGGATATTAAGTTTTGCTACCAAGAATAGGAAAGTAAAGGTCAAATATAATCAAACCTATCCATCTAGAGCTCAAAATTAGAGGAGAGTCTACATCTCTAGGCAACAATAGGAACTGTATTTATTCAGATACTTGGGAATGTATCTAAATTTAGATGATAAACGATAATCTGATCTTTAGATATTGCTCATTATAACATAAATTTACTAGCTGCTTTTAACTGTAATCCTAATACATCACTCTAAACAATAGATAAGTGTATGAACAGATTGATATTATTGACAGTGCCACATTTCATTTAAAACATACTTTAAGAAGACTAAACAGGAATTATTCAAGTTGATATTTTAAAAATTTACTGCTTAATCATTTTCAAAGATTTTTAAATTATACTAGGAATGATTCTCAGCCAATCATCTTCTTAGGTCAAAACATTATTATACTTACTAATCTTACTAGTGTAGCTCTCGCAGGGAATAATCACACGGAGCTCTTTTGATCCTTCATCTTTCAAATCCTTACCAAACCAACATTTGGATTAAAGTGTACCCAAATATATTCATATTTTTGTGTCACCTACTCTCTCAGTCAGTTCTTCCAACCTGTGCTCCATCTTCTTCATCCACTCACCCTTAACTTGCTCCTTACTGTCATTCACAAAGATCCTAAGAGGCAGCATCACAAATAATGCTCAAATCAAAATTGAGAGAAACAGAAAATATACTACGCTAGGTATTTTTAAATGATACACAAGAAGTAATCTGATACACTAAATGCTTTATGGCATGTTTGCAAATGAATAGCTTCTAAGGGAGGCTGAGCATGTCATTTGCTCAGATATTTTCTCTCCATCATCGCTTGCTGCTCATTTTGCTTCAAAATGGTATCTTTAAAAAGTCCACACCAGCTACATAATTGCTTATATAAACCATGTCTTTGTTTTTTCAAAGGTTCTACATAATGCAGAGAAGTGCACATTTTATATGGCATCATCATCATGGCTTAAATTATTGCTTCAAATGTTGTTATAAGGTATTGCTAGGAAGTCACTTTCAGATGAATGCACAATTCCATAGGAAAAGTACAGAGTGAGGCTTAGTATTAAGTTACTGTCTTATCATAAGATAAAGTGTAAAGCATTCAGAAGTAAGGCTGTCACTTCCACATTTGTTTCTGTGTTCTAAACTTCATAATGTATGGCGCAGTGGTGAGGACCAGCAAATGTGACGTACTGCATTGCTCCAGCAGTAACTAAGAAAATGGTACCATAGCCAGTATGCCTAATAGCCCTATAGTGAGCAATATTCATCCCTCATGCTTATCAGTATTAATTTCTGTCTCTAATAAGTTTGAAGACTCGTGTTCAAAAAAGCAGCCTACAAATTTTAAAACTAAAATTCATGGGACAGATAATGGTATGAAGCTCAGACAATGTTTAACTTTAAAAATGGCTACACGTGAACTGATGTATTGCTTCTCAGTAAACTTGTATTTACTTCTAGTAGTGAAGATTATTCATGCACTTTTCAATGGTCCCCAAATCTGGCTGCATGGTAGCATTACTGGGAGTGGTTTTCTAAATGCAGATTCCTAGGCCCTACCTGAGACCTACTGAATCCAGATCTCTGAAAGTAAAACCCAGTAACCTGCACTCTTAAAACTCCAATGTAATTCCCTATGCAAGGTTTTCAGATACTTCCAAGCAGATCAACTGAACCATTGAATTAGGTCATTTCTTAAAAAGGACAGAATGACAATGAGGTGTTTAGTGAAGCCGTGATCTAGTCACAACATTTTAGAAATAAAAGACATAAACTTGACTTATCCACGTTCTCAACTCTTCCCCAAAACATTACTGATTTTAATCATGTAACATCTACATTTAATAAACACATATGAACTAAGAATATGCATAGGTACAGTATGAAGTTAGCTGTAATTCTCCCTGTATTATAAATGTATTAGTGACTTTTTTAAGTGACAAGAGAGAGAACAAAGACAGGAAACAAAAAGGTGACAGGACAGTAATACTTGGGCTCCAATTGTTTAAATCAAGTGTAAGGAAGGAATTTTGCACACTATCTCCATATTCTGTGAAAATATTATAATAATCTGTGTGTAATATCAGTATCTGCTATTCATTCACCACTGAGAGAATCCTGAAATAGAGTCCATAGTTAGGGTCAATTTACCCATTTAACAATAAATCTTATTCCACCATGTTAGCTCAACTCACATGCATATTAAATTGACTCTGAGTTAGGTATAGTCATATGAAGAGATGCCCAAAAAGCCATTCACAATGGATATTTTAAGCTTCAATAATTCATTGTCATTAGCATGTGGATTTTTGGATTATCTCCAGCAAGTTATGCTTATAGAAGCCTCTAAAAAGACATGATTTTTGTAGTTGGAGTTCTATGATCTAATAGAATTAACTAACTTATAATATAGGGCTTGGTTCTTATTCTTGAATTTCTAGGTTTTTATTGGATAAAGTCATGTGATGTCATCCTAAGAATATTCAGGGTCATGTATAATTAATTCCAAAGGAAAATTCAGAGAAGTTGCATAAAGTGCCTGGGTTCAAAAGAAAGAATATATATTTTGAAGAAAGAATGGAGGGAGAAACAGCAGATGCAAGTAATTCCCTAGCATATCAGACAAAAGTGAATATTATAACTCAGGCCTGGAGCAGTGTGGGCTCGTCTGTCTGAATCAGGCACCAGTAAATCTTTCCGCAGCCATCTTGGGTTCAACAGCAGAGAGACAGTAAAGTTTGATGCGGCTAGGCTAATGCAATGAGATGGCTTTGAGTGACAGCAGAGAGTGAGAGAGGATCGGAGCTGGGTAACTCTTGCTCAGAATGCACGGCACGCCAGAGACCTATATACAAAACTTTTACTTTCCACCCTAGCCATCTACAGCACCTGTCCTAACAAGTCAGAAACCAAAGGAGCCTTCAACAAACATATTTAATGATGATCATAATCTTGAGCTCCCTCTTGATATCGTAAGACATTTGTCACATGATTTCAACCAGCAGCAATATGATTCTGCATGAAACACAAGCCTAGTGGTTTTCCAAATTCCTCATGGCTTTTCCCTTTGTATCTTACTCAGTTGTTTTAGCTTCATCAGCAGAGCTTTTTGAAGAAACTTCTAAATGTAAAAGGTTGCTGTCCTTGTGAATGAGATTTTGTTTAAGCTGTCATTGTGCTGTTTTGCTTTTTCTTTTTTTCTGGAGAAGAAAACTTCTACAATAAAATGCTTCCTAACATCAATGTCCTGGGACAAGAGGCAGAAGTGTGAGGCTGAGAGCTCACCTTTAAGTGCTGATTCCACCCACCCATTCTCAAATCTCAAGTATTAGTATCTGACTCAGAGCCAGAGCAGGTCGCAGTTCTTTGGATTCCAAACATTATCACAAATTAAAAGAGAAGCTCAAAATACTTTAAAATTTAACAGGGAAGATGAATATAGAGGCAAATTTTAGGTGGTTCTGTCAGGGTAACCTAGAAGCTTTATCTTCTTCACCTGTATGTGACACAGCTAAGATGTCCAATTAACATGTTTCTGGGCTATACTATTATTTTTTTGTTTGTTTGTTTTTCCGGTACCAAGAATCGAACTCACAACCTTGCACTTGCCAGGCAGGTGCTGTGCCGCTGAGCTAAACCCCAGCCCCTTATACTATTATTTTTTAACATGGCCACTGCTATGTTCATGTTTCACAAAGCAGATATTGTACAGTAAGTTTTAAGTAAATATTTGAGGATATCAATTTTGTTAGATTATCGATTTGCAGATGAAGGTGTTCTCTCCACTAAAATAATCATGACACCAATGTGAAGTCTTAATACTAATGGCTAGTTATAAAGTGACTTCTCCAAATTAGCTTCATTAAAGAGTATTAAAAGAGGGCAGTTATAGGTACCAGATTACAATTTAAGGTACTCTTTTTAGCGTGGGTTAAAGCCATTATATTAATTAATATCACTTGGTTTCTGGGGGATATTATTTAAGTTCCTTTTCATTTGTCATGCTAAAATCCATAATATTCCTAACAGCTTGTAAGTAAATGAGAATACTGTACAGGTATTAGTCAAATAAAATATAAATGCTGGCACATTTTACATACACAGTTTCTAGGCTAGAATATATGCACTGTATTGGATAGCACAAATGAAAATAGGATTTTTTCTCACAGCATCTAATTTCTGACTGCAGCTAGAATGAACAGACATTTGATGCAGTATCTTACAAACACACATAGTAACAGTATAACTGTAATTGTCAACATTAATAGGTTGGCAAAATGATAAAAGATGAGCCCATTGCCTCAGACTAACTTCAAAAATATATATATTAATTATATGAAAAATGTAGTTTTTATTCTGTTTGTGATATATAATAGATCTCTGACATGGGAGATTTGTGACAGTGTAAATGGCTACTTCTTATATGAAATCATAGAAACCATTATAGAGTTTATGATTCTTCTGAAAAGTTGAAAGTATATCCACAAATTCTTCTCCAGAGCCCTACTAACAATTACCAAATGATGGAGTGGATTTCCAATTTTCCTTTAAAGTATAGATAATTCCCACACATATTTTTAAGTACAAAGAAAACAACCATATGTTTAGAATAGTTGCTTAAGCAATTTTTTACAAGAAGCAGAGAAATAGATTGGGTGATTCCTGAAAGTCCATTTCAGCCATATGGTTACAAAACACATTATCACCAGAATGTCTGTTGACTAAATATATCAAAGTAAGCTCCAAATTACTGCACAGAATAAGCATAAATGGCGGGCGTGATGTTGGACCTATCCCCATGCTGCTGTGCTGTGAGAAGCCCCTCAAAATTTCTCAGGCAATTTTCCAATATTGCCATGAGGACTGAGGTGCTTCCAGCCCCTAACCATACTGGCTATAACCACCCCACACACAGACACACTGTCTCCTAAAAAGGACAAGTTCCCTGACGAGATTTCTTGTGATTAATTCACGTCATGAACATACCCTGCCTCCAGCCTACACAGCCTTCTGCATGTAACCTGGCCTTTGCTCTCTATGGAATTAAAAGCAGAGACCTGGGCCCAGGAAACAGCGGGATAGGCAAAGTTCAAGACCGCAGTAACTGTGGCCTGTATTCTCCATAGGAAGAGTGCTGCAATTATGTTCTCTTAAACCATAGGGTGAGAAAAGAGCTCAAATTATAAAAAAGATGAAAATTACAACGAGTAAGTTGCATATCTATAAATGTTTTCTAGCCACACACTTAGAGAGCTTAACAACGTTAATTATGCCTCATAGACTACATTGGAAATTAATTAATATACACCTTAGTTGAGTTATATCATAACCAGATCACAATGCAGCCAAATCCCTGAATGAAAAATAATATATTGCATTTAGTAGACATAAACTACCAATGAGGATACATACTAGAGTAGAAAATGTCTACTCCAAAGATGTTAAGGTAACAATACTTCCAGCTCATTAACCTTAATAGAAATTTAGGTTTATATCTGATCCAAAAGAGGAAAACGCTGGACACACTGTGCTCACAATTTTACTGTGAGCCTGTGACACTATTTCTCATGCAGTGTTGATTAATGGGAGAACAACTTCGTTATAGCAGGACGTGCAATGGAAACCTGTCTGTGACTACAGTGATTACTAGTTCGAAAGGTTAGAACTTCGGAGTTCATGGAGGTCATTCAAGGAATTTAAAAGCCAAGTCAATCAAACTAGAGAAGAACATTTAAAAGAAAAACTCAATAACATAAAATACAGGGCATTCCTTGATTTGCATTATGCAATAAGGAACAATATTCTTGGCAAAATGCTTGGATACTTTTGTGTCAGTAATACCAGTATCTGAGAAATTTGCTTTTGGGAATGGCAGTCAGCTCTTAGGAAGCATCAACTTGGGAAGGGAAAGGGAATTGTTAACATATGACTTAGAAGGATGCTGTTCATTAGAATGCAGTTTAATGTTAAAATATCTATATTTACAGCTGCTACATTAAAAAGGGTCCAAGGTAATAAAGCATTTTCCTTTGACTGATATGTGTTAGAAGACAGCAAAAAAATCCTCTCATTAATCTTAGTTACAAATGTATCTGCTGTGAGAAAATTCCATTACCACTGGACTCCATGCTACAATAATTAAATCTAAAAAATATATCTTACTAACAGACATACAACACTTTCTCAGCATCTGAATCCTTGGTTATATGTATTCCCAGTCCAAGCACTAATCTCTCTAAACAAGTGAAACTATATTAGATTAGTCAGTTAGCATTACATAATATACCAACAATGCAGTAGCAGGTTCTGAAAATCTAATAACGTTGTGTGAAATGTAATTATCTAGAAGAGATATATATAAAAATAGGTAATATCCCTAAAATATTTTACTGAGTTACAATTCTTCCTGCTGGGAAGTGTACCACACTGCCATGATGTATGTATGAAATGTCTATTCAGAAAAAGAAAATTAGAAAATATTCCTCACCTACCAATTCACTAAATGTAGGAATATATACTCAAAACTGGCTCTCAAAAGTGATACAAATATATAGGGAAAGATAACTGTGTGGGTGAAAAACAAGACAACAAGGAGTCTATTGGTTTGTTTTAAAACAGGATCCATATATATATTATATATATTATATATATATATAATATATATATATACATATATCTCCGCATGACACTTATATAGACACATTTTATATTCCCCCACCTTCAGCCTTTCTATGGACAGCAGTCACACGACTTTTTTCTAGGATTATTGCCTGTCATAACAGAAATTCCACTGCTTATTCTCAAGAAAGCATCGAAAGAGAAGCATCTCTTCCCATCCTCCTGTAGTGACCCATGGTCTGGGCTTGTGCTTTTTGGAGGAGTCTTGGGTCTGCGGGTCTTAGAGGCTTGTCTCCCGGAGGAACATGGTGCCGATGTTGTAGGAAACCTTTTTTATTCTTGATGAAGAAAGAGAAGGCTTTGGCTGCTTTGGACCAGTCCTTACCTCCAGGAAATAGCAGATCCCAGGGATTTCCTTTGGAAAGTTGTCTGGAAGTTCTTCACGGGACCGAGGAATGAATGTGAAACTTTCTTCTCGTTTTAATAATCTAAGAAAATGGAAATGACGTGAATCAAATATCACAGGAAATGTAAATAAATGGACAGAAATTCTAAAGATTTGAGAACCTGATCTAGAACTGTGCTCATACTATACTTACCCCTATTTCTTTGATAGATATGACCTTTATAGGACTTCAAATACCAGGAAAAGTTTTAACTCAGAAAAAAATCCTTCCTTGTTACAGTAATAGAAAAAAAAACCCACAAAACTGCTCATGGTGCTACTTAAAAATATTTGTTCAACTACGTTTGCTTTCTACACAGTATTTCTTGAAAAATATTTTTTTCAATTTGATTTTTTCCTCTAAACACAGTGCTACGAAAACAATATAAGGCAAGACTTTACATCAAATGTGCAGGATTTTTCCTGTTTTGAAAACTTCTCCAAATTCTAGAGCACTCTTTTTGTATTTTGTAGACTCTCAATAAGTTTTAAATGTGTATCCTCCTTGTCAAACACATAAATCAAGTATTGAACTTTGTAAAACATTTCAGGACCCCAGGTACTTGTGTTGATTACTGATTTCTAGCAATACAATACATATTTTCCAAAGTCACTAGTATTTATTAGTGAAAAGCTTGATTCTTCCCTTTCACTCACACTTACAGACTTTTTTCATAACATATATACTAGGGAAGATTTAGTTTGTAAACTTGTCAAGTTACATGAAAGATTCAGTTTGATACCCATACCTCAAAATGTGGCTATACAATTCAATTCAACTCGATTCAAAAACTTCTTATGGAATGTTTACTGCACAAGAAGGCTCTTAGGTGCAGGGAATAAAAGAAAAACAACAAAAAACACTCTATAAACAATAAAAAGTAATATAAAAGTAGTATGAAATGGAATAGAGGGCATAAAAAAGCTAGATAACAAGACAGATTTTCAAAAACTGCAGAAGGCAAGAAGAGGAAAGATGTTTCCAGTAGAAGGACCACATAGACTTCTTGTCTGAGATGCCTTTTAAGAAGTGCATTTGTCACATGGTTTCTGTTATAGAAGATACCCTAAACAAAGAGTCAAATAATAGAGAGATGATGGGAAGTAGGGAGATAGATTTTTTGCAAAATGGAAAATGACCAAAAATGGAGAGAGTGAGAAAGAAAGGGAGGAGAGAGAGACAAAAAAAGAATTAAGATGTGTTATGTACATGTACCAACTCCAGACAAGGGATGTAATCATTGTGTACTGAAAACACATACTAATAAAAATAAAATTGATAAAAGAAGTGCATTTAAAATGACAAGATGGACTTCTGGGAAGATGGGGATGTGCTAAGCAGCAGAGAAAGAGCCTTTCTTTCTCTGACTATTGCTATCCAGACCCTGGCACATAGCCATGCAAGGAAGAAAGATGGAGTGAAGTGGGCGCCCCACATCCAGGAAAGATCTGACATGGGAATTGAAGCTCATGGGAAGATCAAGGAGACAAATGTCAGTGAAGAAGAAGGAGGTAGCTGGTAGAGCCTCCTCCCTGAGGAGGAACTCTCGGCGTGGGAGGGACAGTTCAAATCTGTGGACACAGTGACTGCTGGCAACACCAGGAGTCTCTATGGAGAGATGCAGCAGTTACAGCAGTGGAAGGGAACAGTGGAGGTGAAAGACAGCACTAGCTGCGGGTGAGTGCTGAGGGCTTGGTTGTCCAGCAGGACAGCATGACTGGCCAGGAGCTATTTTGGAGAGGGGCCAATTGAGCTCAGAACTCAGAACTGCTGGATCAATTTAACAACTCCCTGCTGAGTTCAAACCCACAGAAGGTGCCCAGACCACAGCAGGCTGAATGTGTCTAGTCTGTGGCTCGCTGAGATTATGTACTGCCCTGCCATAAAGCTACCACTGGTTTGCTGGGATAAATCAACAATGATCTGGACTCTGTCTCCACACATTGTCTACCAGTGACAGAAAAGACAAACCTAGAGGTAGACTATTTCTTTTCTTTTTTTCTTTCTCTCTCTTCTGTGTTTTTGTTGTTGTTGTTGTTGTTAATGTTGTTTGTTTTTGGTTTTTTTCTCCTTCACTTTTTGATATTGTTTTTATATGAGTGTGAATGTGGTTTCTAGCTTTTTTGTGGTTCCTGTTCTGTTTTGTTCTTCCTTTTATTTCTTCTCTCTTTCTTTCCCTCCTGTCTTTTGTGTTCTGCACCAGTTTCCCAAAGTTTGCTTGATTCCCCTTTGTCCTCAACCTTGCCTCTAATCTCTTTCTCTTTACTTCTCTGTTTTTTCCCTAACCCCCTTTACATTTTTCCCCTGAGGGTAAAATTGACATATCAAAGACTTATTTATTGCATATAATTTTCTGGTTCATTTTACATTTTGTTATATAACTGTAAATCTAGTTCATTTGGTTAAAGGTGTTAAATCAATGGTTACTGCAGTATGTCATTTTTTAGGCTGTGTTTGATGCAATTATTATTGCTGATTGTACCACTTTAGCCAAAAAGACATAACCAAGATGATCTTCCTTGTATACCAAGACTGAGATTTCCCAAGAGTTATAGGAAATAACATGGGCCAGTGCCAAAAAAAGCAGAGACTGGGCCAAGTAGGTAGCAACCTTTATACCTGGAAGATACGTCTGAGAAGTAGTCATTTCCTAGGTGTTCTAAATACTAGCAATGAAGCAACTAACGATAGGTAAATTATAACCAACAACCCAGGAATTAAACTTTAAAAAAGAAAGAAAATGAGAAGACACTTAAACAAGATGCAACTCCCGACATCCAGTTCACGAAAGGCGAACGCAGGGAGCAAGAAATTGGTACAATCTGAAAGCCACCCCTTGGCCTCTCTGAAGTAGTAACAAGAAAGCACATGAATGAGGCTCTAAAAAAATAAAATCAGAAATAATTTCTCAGATTACTGCACAGATGGTGTTGACAAAAAAAAAAAAAAAAAAAAAACTATCCTTAGTGACTCTAGAGCAGATACAGACAAAAAAAACACCAAAAGCTTAAGAAAATTGTGGAAGCCATGAATGCCCAAAATAGAAAAGAAATGGAATCCATAAAACAGTTACAAGCAGATATTCAGGAGAATAAAAAGTCCACTGAAAGTATCCACAACAGAATGAGCCAAAGAGAGTACTGAATCTCAGATATAGAATACATGCTTGTGGTTAGTGATCATGAAAAGAGAGAATTCTTAAAAATAGCAAGGGACCATAAGAAATCAATCTGGAAGCTGCTAGATGATGCAAAGAAGAATAACATAAGATTGATTTGAGTTGATGAAAAGGCAGGAAATAGCCTAAATGATATAAAAAATATTCACAGATGTCAGGGCAGAAAACTTCCCTAGCAGGGAAAAAGACTTTGACACATAGATAAGTGAAGCATAGACAACTCCAGCTAGCTATGATCAAAAAAATCTACAGTTAGGCATATGCTAATGAAGATTTGAGAAATTCAATACAAGAATAGAATATTAAAAGCTGTTGAAGAAAAGAAACACATCATATATGAAGGAAAGCCCATCAGAATCACAGCTGATGATTACTGTAGTATGTCATTTTCTAGGCTGTCAACACAGACCCTTAAGTAAAGCAAAAGTTTGACTGATGTATTTGAAGACCAAAAGGGAAACAACCTCCAACTAAGATTGATTTATCCTTCAAAACTATCTTTAAAAACTGATGGAGAAATAAGATACTTCCATGACAAAGAACACCCAAGGAAATACATCTACACAAAACCAGCACTCCAAAATGTTTTGAAGGACATTCTAAAAAGAGATAACAATATGTCTCATGAAGGTCTCCATGAACTGCAACAGCTCCATGAACTGCAACAGAGGGAATCTACCAGGCAAGGCAAACAATTAAATGGGGGGAGGGTTAGGAGCCAACAACAGGAAAATAACATGACAAGGATAAGTCAATACACATCAATGATAACCATCAATTTTAACTGCCTCAATTCACCAATCAAAACAAACACACTAACAGAATGGACCACGAACCAAGAAACAACAATATGCTGCATACAAGAAACACATTTAATTCAAAAAGAAATCATGGACTGAAAGAATGGAAAATAATACTCCATGTGTGGTGGATTGACAACTGGTGGTGAACTTGTAACATCCAGCTGAACTAAACTAGCATAGGGCTGGGTGCAGGAGGCCTACCTGAGGATTGCTGCCAGCAGCATAAGAGTCAGAACTGGAGAGGCTGTTAGAAGTATTGGGGGCTGTTAGAAGCATTGGGTGCTGTTACAAGCTTTAATGGACTGTTAGTTTTCCTAGAGCTGCTGTTGCTTCTCTTGGAGGATCTTGTCATGCTGGCTTTCCTGATGAACTTGGCTGTTCTCCTTACTGAAGGAGCTTGGGACCTTGGTGTCCCTGGGAATGACTACAGTTCGCTTGGGGGAGCTCTGGTCACTACTTTGAGCACCACTTCCTGGATATGGAGGAAAGTTGGTGCACTGCTCAGTCTCCTGGAAAACCTTGTCTCATTGGCTTTCCTGATGGGAACTCAGCTTTTCTCATCATTGGAGGAGCTTAGGATCTCACTATTGCTGAGGATGGCTGTGGTACTTTTTGGGGGAGCTCTGGTTCTTATTTTGAGCATCACTTCCTGGCTCCAGTTCAGACCCTCAACCTGCTATCACAGATTCTTCATCCTGCTGGCATAGACTTTCTAATTTCCACTACTGACCTTTGGGGCTTCTCAGTGCAGATTCATGAAACAGACATGCATGAGACATTGTCATGGGCTCTAGGCCTCCAGTTGAATTCATGAAAGGCATTGTTATGGGTTCCGGGTCTTCAGCAGGACTCATGCAGGACATTACTTTAGGATCCAGGCACTCAGCTGGATTCTTTGGTCTTTAGAGTGAAGAGATTTCTTTCACTCTCCTTTTGTAATGATTCTTTGGGTGACTATTATAAATAATCTTATAAAATATGTGTCCTGTATTATATTGTTCCCCTTAAAAACCCCAAACTACATCATGTGACAAGAACCCATAAAAAAGCAGCACTAGCTA